GCATTGTTAGTGTATAAGAAAGCAACTGATTTCTGTGCATTGATTTTGTATCCTGCCACATTACTGAATTGCTGGATGAGTTCCAGTAATTTGGGGGTGGAGTCTTTTGGGTTTTCCACATAAAGTATCCTATCATCTGTGAAAAGAGAGAGTTTGGCTTCTTCTTTGCCAATTTGAACACCTTTTATTTCTTTTTGTTGTCTGATTGCTGTTGCTAGGACTTCTAGTACTATGCTGAACAATAGTGGCAAGAGTGGGCATCCTGGACGTGTTCCTGATCTTAAGGGAAAGGCTCTCAGCTTTTCCCCATTGAGGATGGTATTCGCTGTGGGTTTTTCATAGATGGATTTTATGAACTTGAGGAATGTTGGGATTAAGACTTAAATGTAAGACTTGAAATTGTAAAAGTACTACAATAAAACATAAGGAGCAATCTCCTTGACTTTGGTTTTGGCAACAATTTTGGGGGTATGACACCTAAAACATAAGTAACAATAGTACAAATTACAAAGTAAGATTACCTCTATCTAAAAAGCTTATGCACAACAACAAAAAAATTAATTAATTTAATTTAATGGCAAGCTATGGAATGATATAAAATATTTGCAAACCATCTATCTTATAATGAATTAATATCCAAAACATATATGGGAATCACATATCTCAATAGCAAACAAAACAAAAAAATGTGATTAAAAAATGGACAGAGGACCTAAATAGACATTTTTTTCCAAAGAAGACATCCAATGGCCAGCAGTTACATGAAAAGATGCTCAATATCATTAATCAACAGAAAATGAAAGTCAAAACCACAATTAGCTATCACCCACACCTGTTAGAATGGTTATTATCAAAAAGACAAGAAAACAAGTGTTGGCAAGGCTGTGGAGAAAAGGGAACCCTTGTGCATTGTAGGTGGGAATATAAATTTCATACAGCCATTATGAAAAACAATATGGAGCCTCCTTAAAATTTTAAAAAATAGAAATACCATATTATCCAGCAATTTCTCTTCTGGATATATGTCTGGAGAAAATTAAACCACTCTTTTGAAGAGATATCCTTACCCTCATGTTCACTGCACTTTTCACAGTAGCCAAAACATGGAAACAAACTGTCTATTAACAGATGAATGGATAAAGAAAATGCTTCATATATGTATGTACACTGAATATTATTCAACCATTGAAAAAAGGAAATCCTGCTTTTTGTGACTACATGGATAGACTTGCAGGTATTATGCTAAGTGAAATAAATCGGACATAGAAATTCACATATTTATATTCCCAATTATATGTGGAATCTAAAAAAAGCCAAACTCATAGAAACTGAGACCAGAATTGTGGTTTCCAGTGCGTAGGTTGTGGGGGAAATGGGGAAATGTTGGTCAAAGAGTACAAACTTCTAGCTATAAGATGAATCAGTTCTGGGGAACTAATATGCATCATAGGTGATTATAATTAACAATCTTGTACTATATTCTTGAAAGTTGTTAAGAGAGTAGATCTTAAACGTTATTGCCACAAAAAATGGAAATTGCATGTGGGGATGGAGGTGTTCACTAACCTTATTATGGTAATCATTTCACAATATATATATGCATCAAATTATGACATTGTATACTTTAAATTTACATGTGTTATATGTCAATAATATCTCAATAAAGTTGAGAAAAAACAATAAAGTTGTATTTGAGTTAAAAGAAAAAAAACCTGGGCTGATTTTAATAGTCAATGGGTAATTACCCCTTTCATCAATTCTCCTCTCAATTTGGTCACCACCAGGATGGGTGGGATGGGGTTCCTTTACAGCATGAGTGCTTCATGGGATTAAGAAGATATTGGCACCTGTGACCTGGCAGAGTCAGCCAATGCTATTTTTTGGAACCCAAACCACAGTTTAGTGGTAAAAGGCCAATGACTTTTGACAGTTGCAAGAACCTTACATGAGATTGGATCCCTGTTACTGATAGTGATCAGAGATAGGTGATGGAAGATAAGGCTGCCTCAAAAGGGAAAGTCGGCCTGGGGTTGTAATCTAACCCTAGTAAGCATTGCAATTTCTCCACCAATTTATCAGAGATAATCCAGTTTGGGATACCCATTGGATGGACCTTGCTCCCTGCCAGATACATTCTATATAGCCAAGCAGCTCCTTTTTCATTTGGTTTCTGGCCTGTGTCCTTAAAGAAAGATTATGCCCCAGGGCAAGGAGAGGACTTTTCTCCTCCTTCAAAAGAGGATTCAACCCCTCCCTCTTATCTCTTCCTTTATCTTTTGTCTTTATACATTTCTGTATAAATGTATACAGAAATTAGCTATCACCCACACCTATTAGAATGGTTATTATCAAAAAAGACAAGAAAACAAGTGTTGGCAAGGCTGTGGAGAAAAGGGAACCCTTGCGCGTTGTTGGTGGGAATATAAATTTGGTACAACCATTATGAAAAACAATATGGAGCTCCCTTAAAAATTTAAGAAATAGAAATACCATATGATCCAGCAATTTCTCCTCTGGATATATGTGGTTACTGGCAAATTATCCTGGGCCTTATTGCGGTGGCACTGTGCTGGCTTTTCTTCTAGAAAGTACTATCCTCCCCTCCATCTTGTCTCCCCCAGGAATTTGGCCACTGCATCCTCTCCAGAAGTTGCTGCCAGCAAGGCAGCACAAGTCTCATGATTTGGAACACCTGTTCAGCAGGACAAGCACCTCCTTCAGAATCCTGGGAGTGACAAGGCTATAAATGTCCTTGCCTCTAGTCACTTTAAGTAGCACTTTAGCTGGCTGAGCCCATTTTTATTCCAGAGGTATGCACTTGCCTTCTTTTTTCTAATCAGGTGCACAAATCCTACAACATTCAATACCTACCTATTGGGGCACCCAGGTGAGGGGTTTGACCTCCTTACCTGTGCAGCTCAGTGCCTCTGACCTCAAGAATCCATACTAATGGTGTGAGTTCACTCAAATGCTGGACCTACAGTTTGGTCAGGTTACTGAGGCACAAGGGCAGACCATAAAAAGTGTATTGGTTAGTATAGCAAAGATCAAAAGCATGTCAAACTGACACAGAGACATTCCAAATTTTGTGTCTTAACACTTATGGCTATCCAAGATTGATTTTCCAATTAACTGTCCTACTACCTGAATAGACTGCATGCCAATTTGTCCTTCATGATCAAACTCCCATCCTTTTCATAATTTGTGATGAATTCTAGGTTCTGGTCTAATCAAGGAAAAAAAACACGACCACACGATGGCAGCAGTACCCAACACGCTTTGTTTGGGAGATGCTTTGACAGATTGCTTGAAAAGGGGAGTCTCTCGAAACAGGAGACCTTTCAATGTATCTTGGATCACTACATCAAAAAAATAATAAAATAAAATAAAATAATTTGCAAGAAGCAAGAATTAAAAAAAACACTTTTTTGTGATCTGCTAATATGCAGCAATAAATCACTAATTCAGATGCTTAAAAAAAAAAAAAGGAGACCTTTCAAAGACAGCTATAGAAGGGCACTACCCAGAAAAAGAAGGGGCTAGGCAACTCTTGGTGAAATAGGGAAATAGGAAAGGGGCTTTCTTGTTTAAGTGATATGGCTCAGCCGCTAGAGGAGTCTCGGGGTCAGAGAGCTCTGAAGGCAAGCAGTGGTGTTTTATAGCCTCTGAGTTTGTCTTAACTATGCCTATCATATGTTTGGTGTAGTTTGGGGGATATACAAAGTAGGCAAGCTCTAAATAGTAATATATATATTTCATCTATATTTAAAGCAAATGTATGTGCAAAAATTTGGGTTTGGTGATAATCCTAGCCTGTTGTGAAAACGTAAACAGCCTAAGAGCCAATATACAGGTCATCTTTGACTCCCTGATAGAAATATGTCATTTAGCCACTCTGATTAATCTGGCTGACAAGGGCTGAGGTCAAGTCTATGCAATTTGTACCTTTAATAAGACTCTAAGTAGCAAAGTGTAATCAATTTTCAGTGTAAACTTCATTGATGCCCCACACCCCAGGATCCTAAATGAGTAAATTCCATCAACTATCATGATTTATCAAGTTCTGGTGATGAGAAGCACTGTAGGTGTATGATAAGCACACAGTGGGTTTATGTCACCATGTGGAAAACTCCAATATTTTAAAGGGATTTTAGCAAACTCCCTCAGAGGGAAATACTATCTTTGTTCCTGAACAGCAAACAAATAAACCTTCTGTCCCAGAGTGAAATACTATACCTATTTTCTTCCAAGGCCCTTTGTTACATAGATAGCATTGGAGAATAGTGTGAAACAAATGCTGTTAATTCCTCTGATCAGAATTCAAGGAGAAATATGAGACTTATAAAGAATTGTCTCCCAACAATGACAAGCTATGTCTAAGATTTATGTGGAAATTCATAGGACTTAGAATATCCAAAAGTATTAAGGAGGGCATGTGTTGTGATGAGCACTGGGTGTTATAGACACCTAATGAATCATTGAACACCACATCAAAAATTAATGATGTACTATATGGTAGCTAACTGAACATAATAAAACAAAAACAAAAACAAAAAGAATAGCAATGCTGTAGGACTTACATTGACAGCTTCCAAGACTTACTATAAAGCTATAATATACAAAAAAGTGTGGCACTGGCATAAAGATAGGCAAATAGGTGAGTTTTGCAGAAGAGAGAATCCAGAAATAGACCCATATGGATATAGTATTTGCTTGTCAACAAAGGTGCAAAGCTAATTCAGTGGAAAAAAGATAGTGTTATCAGGGATTGGTGCTGGAAAAATTAGATAGCTATAAGTTAAAAGAAATGATAATCTTTACC